TTAGACAATTTTTCACCTTTAAATTTAATAATCTTACGATTTATATATGTACTTTTCTTGCTCTTCTGTACAACCTTCACGTGTGTGTTTAAGCGACTTTTTGTGAAGTTTGTAGATTTCGCGCCAGCAATTATATTATATAATTAAGATCACAGTTTGTACATCCATCCATATTCTGTGGGTCATTCGTTCTATACCAAAAATTCTAACTGAATTTTATACTAATGTATATATATATATATATATATAATATGTATAAAATAATATTTTGTTTATATATGTGTGTTGAAGAGTGAAATTATATAATTGTGGAATTCCTATGCATTCCATACACATCTCTCTCATTAGTGTTGATAATAATAAGAATAATGCTACTACCAGTAATTTAGGTTGTCTTGGTAAAATCACCTTATAATAATATTTTACTGGTCTTAGCAAGGATATTAAGGTTATGAGTGTGCGCGGATGTGTTTACTGTCTTGTGCGCATGCACACACACACACACACAGGTCAAATTTAACAATACTTCAGTATTGCAGATAAATACATATATATATATTCGTATTTTCTGAGATTTATGTTATCTCACACATATCAAAAGTGCAATGTTGTTAAAGCCATTCGTAATGTATATTATCCTTCAGTGCTTCAAAATTAAAGATTGAGGCTGTATTGTGTAGGATGTCTATGGAATTGTTGTACTTATTCCTAGTGGCGTCCGTCAAGGATGCCCCTATATCCCCATTTCTATTCAACTTCATCATAGATGTACTTATAGACTTAACCCTAACTCACTTCAGCGACTCAAGGATTTACTTGTTACAATCAGGGAATAATCTCGTTGACTTAGAATATGCAGATGATATAGCCCTTCTAGGCGAGGATGCTGACAAAATGCAGAGTCTTCTGAACATCTTGAGCTGCAATCTACGAATGTTTGGCATGCGATTCGCTCCCGCCAAATGCAAGATGATGAGGCTACAGGACTGGACTACACTGACTCCTAGTTTAGAAATAGGGATTGAAGTGGTAGAGCACGTTGACCGCTTCACTTATTTGGGAAGTACCATCAGCCCCAATATGTTGATATCTGACGAAATCTCAGCACGGATACAGAGGGCTAGTTTCTCATATGCCAGTCTACGCCGTCTGTGGCTTAGTAGACGTGATATTCGGCAGGCTATCAACCGAAGGGCGTGTGTACTGCTCATCAGTCCTCTCCGTCCTCCTTTATGGCTGTGAGACCTGGCCATTGAGAGTGGAAGACATGAAAAGATTAGCTGTCTTCGATCATAGGTGTCTGCGTTCTATCTCCCTTGTTAGGTGAAGTGGTATAATAAGGTGAGCAATATTGAGGTTAGGCGTCGAGTGCTAGGTAAGGCGGGGAAATCAGTCGACATGGCTGTGAAGCTACATTGACTGAGATGGTTAGGACATGTCTTACGTATGCCTAGCTATCCATCGCCTTCCTCAACAGGCAATGTTAGCTGACATAGCGTCAGGCTGGAAAAGAGCTAGCGGTGGTCAAACCAAAACATTGCACCAGTCAATGAAATCTACAATAGTTAGTCTAAGCCAGTCACGTAGGGAGGTGTAGAGTGGCTTCCTGGTTGGGGTCCTCAGGACGGTAAAAACCAGTGGTTGGAAACAATTGGTGATATGGCTCAAAATCGTTCCCAATGCATAGCGCAGATGCATCCACTCCTTGTGACTTATGATTTCCGATGAAACTGTCTTGTTCTTCGTTATTACTATTCGTTTGTCTCACTCCTCTGTTTACTGTCTCTAATATGCATTTCTCCTACTTTCTTCTCTTCCTTTGTGTTCTACAAGTAGGGAGTGTGGCGACTTGAACTGCCGCACATATGTGCAAAGTTCTATGTCGAAAACAGACAGACTTATTATTCCATTCTCTTCTATCAATCTAATTCTATGTGCCTTCTAAATTATTGGATCCCAGTGATGATACCTCCCTGTGGATTTCGTTTCATTACGAACTAACATGAATAACTCATCCTAAAAATACAAAAAAAAACATTTAAAAAAAACAAAATGAAATTATTCTTCGCTGAAATCGGAGAGGCGAAATGGCACAGACGGCTGGTGAAACTGCCTTCGGGAAGCCTTTCAGTCAGTCGATGTGTCTGCTCTCTTTCGGTGAAAGCAAGAATAAGAATGGGGACGTGGAATGTCCGTACAATGTATGAGACTGGGAAGGCTGGCCAGGTAACCAAAGAAATGCGAAGATATAGCCTAGAAGTGCTGGGTATCTGTGAGAGCAGATGGAATGGATGTGGACTATCCAAATTGTCAACTGAATAGTGACTAATCTACTCCTGTCTGGTCATCCAGACGACCACCACGAGCACACTGAGGCAGTGAGTGCCTGTTATGATGTCACCAGTGGCAGCCAAAGCCCTAATACAGTGGGAACCAACCTCCTCATTCAGGATCATGACAGCAAGAAAAGATGGTTACAACTATCCATTTCTACGCACAGTGCTGCAAACAACGCGGAACCAGTGGAGAAGAAGGAAGATCTTTATAGACAACTACAAACAGTAATGGACAACACCCCGAATGGAGAAATCAAAATCCTTATGGGCGATATGACTGCTGACTGGACCAGATAATACAGGAAAAAAACTCATCATGGGTCGAGAGGTTCTGGCTAAGCGAAATGAATGAGAATGGAGAACTCTTCGCAAGCTTTTGCTCTGTCAATGATGTGGTGATAGGAGGCAGCGTGTACAAGCACAGGGATATACATAGAGCCAGCGACATGGATTTCGCCTGACGGACACACCACAAACCCCATAGACTTCATCTCAACGCCGCTTAAGGTAGTGAACATGCAGCCAGCCTGCTGGACTGGTTGAAGAAGCAGCGAAGACAGGACTGCAGGTGAAGATAGAGAAGACGGAGGTGATGAAGATAAACAACCAACAGCAATAACAACAGAACCAGCACCAATCACCCACCATCAACGAGAGAAATTCGAAAGAGGGCACTTATTGCCTTCACTTTTCTAGGAAGCACGGTTTCAACCACAGGCAGTCGGAACGCATAAAGATGTCAAGGCCAGCCAGCCAGCCATAATCGGAAGGGCAAGATATGCACGCCTTCACCAACCTGAAACCAGTCTAGAAATCTTATGCACTCCGCCTCAGCATCACAAGGAACAAGATTCGGATTTTCAACACCAAAGTGAAGTCAGTCAGTTCTTCTATACGGGTAAGAAACTTGGCCATTGTGTCACGAAAGGATTTCCAACAGCCAGTTACAGACTCTTATCAACAGCTGCCACCTTCACTTGCTCAATACTGAGGATCAAATGGCTGGGCAAAAAGAATTAGCATCAAGAAACTCTGGCTCGGGCTGGCTGGCAACAAAGCAACCAAGAGCTGATTGCTCAACAAAAATGTAGGCGAGAATGGAGATGGATTGATCGGGCATACGTTGAGGAGGCCATCGAATGACATTGCGAGCAATGCAGGCCACCGATCGAGTAGAATACGAATGGGTCATCGGTGCGAAGGTGATACGGAGGAGATCGTGTGGCGAGGAGGAGATGAGAGATTATGGTTAATCGAATGGCTAGCCAGCCGAAGAGGACTGCAGGAAATAGAAGAAAGTGGAGATGTGTTGTTGAGATCCTATGTTTCACTCGGAACCCAAGGGAATAATACTAGTAAAGTTTCCAGTTTGTTGCTGAGTATTTTGTTCACCCTTTTACTGTCTTCTGTGTTCTTTCAACCTGTGAGTTTAAAGTAGCTTTGGTTTCAAAAACGGGTTGACATATCTTCTATCTTTAACTGTAATTTTTGAAACCTGTAAAGTAGTACACCCACTCACTAATGAAAATGAATGAATATTTCACTCAAACAATCAGTGGTAAGATCAGATAATGGTCTGAAGCCTGCCTGTTCTCGGATTCGATCTCCAACTAAGTCTCGTATGCTCAAGGAAATTTGAGTTTCATGACAATTTCATTCCTGGATATCTAATTCACTCTGCCTCTTGCAGATAGCAGGCACAAAGAATATTGTATGACCTGCATGGCTCATCTAAAAGTACATTGAGATGAGTTAATAGAATAGGTCTATTTGATGTAAACATTATTGGAAGTAGCTCATCAGATCCAAGAATACTCACCTTTTTGGGGGGCGTCTCTAACAGCTTTCCCTAGCTCTGTAAGCGTCGGTGGCTGTATTCTAACCATCCAATCAGGCTATAGTTGAATGATGGTCAGATGATGAGCTTCCGGTGTTCAACTGACTATTCCTCAGTCTTCAGTGTCTTAATAAACCTTAGGTGTGGTGTAACACCGGTCCTCATAATTTACGCAAACAGCTGTTTGCTGTTATTTGTCACCACTATCTTCTCCCTCTCTGTTTCCCCACCTTCGTTGTCCTTCACTATCAATGCGGATATTGTCAGTGTATATGTAAAATGTATTCGCTCTTCATTATGCTTGAAATGAGTTCGCTTGTATCCATTAGTTTTATGAATGGTCCTGTAATCCAATAGCTCTACACAGCTCTCCTGACAGGGTCAGAAACAGTATTTGACGTTGCCGTCACTGGTAAATGAAAACTGTTTTAAACTTTTTGAAGAGGAATAGCACTTTTTTCGTCAACTGAAGGTACAGTCACCTTCTATGTAAATGCAGCTGGTGATATCCAAAAGAAATGTGAATGTTTGGCCGTTGTGATCCGAAGTACCAGAGTTGCACATAGTAAAGTCTACTATCTTACTTAACATGAAGTGCAACTCAGTTTTTTTCACTCACGATGGGGGATTGAACCCTTGTCCACCTATTAAAGCCTTTCCATCATGATAGTCGAGTTTGCACATGGTTCTTCATTTGGATTCAGTTTTTGGTGGTTTATTCTGATTGCGTTGTTATCACTTTTCACATTCATCTACGGAAATGTTATTGATGTTTCTCGATTCAGGAATTACTGTGATCATTGTTTTTCTTTTTTTTCATATCTCAGCTATTTGAAAGATTATGCGAGCTTGGAGCAAATTTAGATGCACGTAATGATATGGGACTTACTGTTCTACACATGAAAGTCCGTGATAACAATTTCGAAGAAGTCCTAGCTTTATTAATCAATGGTGCAGATCCAAATCTGTGTGATATTGACGGAGCAACTCCTTTACATTACGCAATTATTGTAAGTCTTATTTTATTATTATTATTATTATTACTATTGTTTATAATCATACATAACTTGGTTGATATACCTCTTTGAAAGTGGAAGACATGAAGAGCCAGCCAGTTAGGGAGTAGACTGCCTGTTTGTGGTCCTCGGATTGCTATGGGTCGCTGTCTTGAGGCTATTGGTAATATGACTCAAAACACTGTATAACACTGTGAGACTATCAAAATAAAAATTTACCCATAATGGAATTACATTCTACCACAGTGCCCAAGTTTTATTCTTATATCAATGACTCAAAACCGTTGTCAGTTTCTCACGTACATCGTCTCTTCGTAATCTCTCAAATACATTAGGTTCTCATGGTTTCTATGTCACTGTTCTTTCAAAATTGCATTTCACCTCATTGAAGTTTTTTCCTTTTCTCTAACTTTGTGTGTTACATAGAGTGTAAGGACTTTGAGATAATTAGAGACGGCAGCAGTCGTTAAATTATAGAAACATCATTCATTAGCGTTTGCCAGAGCTTCAACGAAATATTTCACAAAAAAATTCACACACTTTACGAACTATCCTATGAAGAGCGCGATAAATTTCGAAAATTCTTATTCACTGCCATTATTATTATTATTTATTTATTTAAACACAAAATACTTGGTACAATATGGCAACCAAAAGAAGCGCCACACAACAATAATAAAACAACATAAATTAAAAGTAAAAAGATAAGTAGAGAACGAATAAAGAACTTCATCTGGAAGGATAACAGTCATATTTAACAAGTTCAAACAGCATTCGTCAACTATCATCGGGAAGGGAAAAAAGAAAGAAATTGCAGCACAACGTTCGCCATTGATTACGATTCTTGACCATACCTTACCCGATAACGTTTCGAGCCACCGATTCGAGCTATCTCTCGGACTCCAGCCAGGGAGTCGTGACGCACCAACCGATGCTAACCTAACACAGATATCCTTCGTCCTACGACACCACGTCATGGGCTGACCACCTCTCCGTTTTTTCCATCCCGTCGTCCCAGGGCTACCGAACAGAGACCTGTACGGAAGCCTCTAGAATGACATTCGCAGCACATATCCAAGCTACCGAAGCCGGTGTTTTCAGATGACAACAGTCAACGAATGGTGATCTCCACTGTATCCGAACACACGTCGCCGGACCTCAGAATTACTCACGCGATGATGCTGTCGAACGCAAGGAATCCTGTGGAGATCTGGTTTCACAGGCGTAGAGCAAGATAGCACTCACTGTAGCATTAAAAACCGGACCTTTGACCGCCAGGCTGACGTGGCTCAAGTTAACGTATGCCACTGTAGCTTTCATGATACGGGTTGGAAATTTCATCCGTCACTGTCATACAAAAGTCTTACAATGACATTAGCGCGATGCTTACAAAAAGTTCAAAACCATATGGAAGTCGGTTATCATATCTACAGAAGCTTGCGACATACCTTTTTAACTGCTAAGAAGCATTTTTCATTCCCGCTGAAATCCAGACCCTGCTACTCAGTCCAAAATTCTCTAAAGTGTGTCGAACCTGAGTCTGATTTTAGAAGTCTCACATACCAGACACTTAATTTTGTATCAAACTGTGAAAATTGTTCAAGGCTCCAGTTGTTCAGATAACTGCTACAAATCTGTGAATACACGGTCCGTTTATCGGTTACTTCGTATCAAAGTTTACTCAGTGAGCTGAAATCACTAACACTGATGACTAATCAATGTAATCAAGATCAAAATGCAGTCAGTCGACAAGAGAGTGAGTTCAATTGACCGCACTCTCTTTCTGTATGCTGCATTGATTTTGTTGGAAATGTTTGATTGCAATCACCTCAGCAAATTGTAGTGAATTTCCTCTTCTTTGTATATTTAATATTTTGAGTGATTTGGAAATGTTGACGAAATGTCTCGTGTCCCACCACAAGGTGTGTGTCTGGTAATTGCACTTTGTGAATATCCTCTTCCTTTTAGGCGTAAGTTTTTTGGGATATGCTTAGGAAACACATGCCATTGATGGAAATAATTGACAGCAATTGTCAATAAACAGGTATACTACCCCTATCCGAAAACAGAGATGAAGCTTCTACTACTTCTTTGCACAAAAGACACATTCAATTCAAAATTAAACGACCAACTTTACCGACAAATCGATCGAGTCGAGATGGGTTAATTTCTAGGACCTATTCTGGTCGGTAATGTTCATGGGTGATCTCAAACAGATGCGACAGAGCTCTGCTATCCATGAAACAACCTAGTATCACTGATAAGTTGATGATACGTTTGTTGTCTGCCAAGATTTAGATCACGCACGTGCACTATTTGAGCGTCTCGATGAGATTCATCCTAAGAATAAATTTACCATGGAATATGAACGTAACGATGAGTTGAATTTTTTCAATTTAATGTAATGTTAGAAGAAACGATACTACAGTCGAAAAGTATCTGTCTGTTTGTTCTCGATATAGAACTTTGCAGTACAAGTCGCCACACTCCCTCTTTGTAGCACACAAAGCAACAGAAGAAAGTAGAAGAAATGCATATTAGAGACAGTAAACAGAGGTGTGAGACAAAGGAATAGTAATAACGAAGAACAAGACAGTTTCATTGGAAATCATGAGTCACAAGGGAAGGACGCATCTGCGCCAGCCATTGACAACGATCATGAGCCATGTCACCAATTGTTTCCAACCATTGGTTTTTACCGTCCGGAGGACCCCAACCAGTCAGGAAGTCTACACCTACCTACGTGGCCTAGACTAACTGTTGTAGATTTCATCGAAAAGTATATCTATAGAAAAGAAACTTTGACTGGACAACTTCTTTATTATAACAGCTTCCGTCCTATAAAGTATAAGCATGGATAGGTGAGAACACTACGAAAGAACCAGGAAGCTATGCTAACCCAACAAGCAGCAAGAAGAATCAGGCTTTGTTGAGAAATGTCTAAAGGAAAATGGGTATTCAAAGACACTTTTCCTAGAGTATAGCGAACGAAAGGACAAGAAAATAAGACACGCAACTGTTGAAAAGAAGAAAGTCGTTATTTGTCTTCTTCTCAAAGAAGTAGTATCGCAAAGAATTGACAAAGAGCTAAGCTCGTAACACCATAAAGCACCATATGCTCAGTAAGCCAATCTAAACTGGATAGGTACCGTGTTGATATCACCTCCAACTGCGCGTATAAACTCGCGTGCACTTGCGGTAGCAATTACATTGGAAGAGCAGAAAGGAGGCCTTCTCTGCGGTTTTCTGAGTATATACAAAAAACCTTATGCCTAAAAGGAAGAGGATATTCACAAAGTGCAATTACCAGACACACACCTTGTGGTGGGATACGAGACATTTCGTCGACATTTCCAAATCATTCAAAATATTAAATATACAAAGAAGAGGAAATTCACTACAATTTTTGCTGAGGTGATTGCATTGCAATCAAACATTTCCAACAAAATCTATGCAGCATACAGAGAGAGAGAGTGCGGTCAATTACTCACTCTCTTGTCGACTGACTGAATTCTGATCTTGATTACATTGATTAGTCATCTGTGTTAGTGATTTCAGCTCACTGAGTAAATTTCTATCTTACGAAGTGTAATCACCTTTTTCAGTGGATAGTGTAAACTTACAGGTTAACACTGTTTATTAGATTTTTGTGTTTCCTGTCTTCTCCTCCGCAGCCACCCCCAGCCATCGTTTTCTACTTTGGAAGGTGTGTGAATTGATGGTGACTTAAACTAAGAATTGTAATGTGATTACATTTCAGATGGGTTAATTTTTCGTGACATTTTCTCTACTACTACTACTACTACAACTACAATTGAAACACTGAATTATCTTATTTTTATTCTTTTGTGACTGTTTTTTTTTGTATATATCACGTAGGCTGCAGCTGATTAGAACCTGTGAAATTGACTGACGTCACTTTTCTACTGCAAAATTAGTCTCTCCTGACTTTTTGAAAAGTTATCATGAGAGCCATGTGTTTATGCAGTATCACTTGGTCATTTTTTTTGCTTATCGACTGGTTCTTGTTTATCACAGTTTTTTTTGTAGTCAAGCGCTTTGTTTTCTAATTTGAAAACAAAGATGATTGCGTCACTTGACTCTAGAGGAACGAGCATGATATCGTGTAAAAGCCATCTGAGCGTGTTAGGATATATATTCATGGCAATATTGCTTACTTAAGATACAATCAAGTAAATCGCTTTGAGTCTTTTTCTGTCATATGAGATGAATAAACATCGCAATTGACACAAAAATAGTCGTATTTCTCATTAGGTAGATTAAAGGCAGCAAACTAAGGATACGGCATAATAAGGTGGACGTGAATATAACTTTGGTGCTATAACACTCTTTTAGTTGAGTACTTTAGTTGTTGAATATGTCAGGATGATTCTTTGCAAAATTAGTTGCCTAAATTTGATGGTTTTATCTGATATATATGTATAACACACAATGACTAGTGTGCAATCAAAAATATCCAATACAGTCCTACAGGAGGTCAGTCGCGAGCCTGAATAGCTCAGTGGTAACGTCTCTGACTGCAGCACTCGGTGACGCGGGTTCGAATCTCAGAAGGGACATCAGTTCCTTCAAGGTTGCAGATACGCCTTGCTGATGAGTGCCAACTAGCGCGAAACCTAGGTCCAAGGCTTCCTGCCGATCGCCTCCAACCATCTTATACCAACAATTCACAGTGCACCGTAATGGCGAGCCACCTAGCATGGTGGCCACATTGCAAACATGACTGATAGAATTCAGTCTGCACCGAAGATAGGACTACACACATTACACTAGTTACTGACTAGTGTGCAATCAAAAAAGGATTATTCACTACTGGATGACGTTTATAGCACAATTTATTGCTCATAATCAATCATATCGGTGTATTCACATGACCTGATAACTTGTCTTAGATCGTCCTGCTCCCTGTTACTTTTTTTTATTACAAGTTTCATGATGTCTGGTATAGGCGTTGCCATCATTTCTCTGTCTCC